AATATCTTTCTAGAAAGTTTTACACTTTTCTCATTTAAAAAAAATATACCAGGTGATGGAAGCTGAGAGAGAAGGCATTGCAAAAGAGACCAGTGTGGTTGCTCGGGTGTTCTTCAGCCACACATCCCTTGAGCTATTAAAACATAAAAAACACATAAAATGTTAGTAAATTGCATTGAGAATTATGTGAGCCTGACCTTTCTGTGCCTAGTTTGACACAAAGGCTACCATTTACTGATCATATATCTATATTGTCCATTGCTGGGTTTGCAATCGTTCTCGTGGGTCTGTTTATTGGTAGGTAAAATATATATCACTCTATTTTCCTGAATTTAACTGTGTTGGCGAGCACTTATTGACACGAGTAGACTCACTGACTATATTTAAAAAATAATTACATATATAGAGATAGATATAGATATTCTGCATTGCATTTACCATTTATGAAAGCTGCCAGAGTAACAACACTAGCATTTATACAGAGAAAGAAAAAACACCATGGGCAGCAGCAATATAAACTTCCCCACACTGTCCCACCAATTAGATCTGACCTAAAGAGATCCCTTGTAAGGGTGAGATGGTAGTTCAGTGCCCCTGTTCATTCAACGTTTGCCTCTGAGTTGAGCTAATTATGATTTTTTTTTTAATATGGACCAATGTCTGAGATACTTGACCGAGACTATCAGCTCATTTAAATAGGCGACCAAATATGTGCCAGATTGTAATGATTTTCTGTCATTATGAATCTGAACCAGATTCAAAGCGGTGGAACCTAGAGGTAAATACCTTTGTCGCTTTTGAAACAATTAGAAAATAAATAAATTTAGCAGTTAAAACTTACAGTTGCAAACAATATCCAGATCTTCTAGCTAATAATGTAATTTTTTTTGTGTATGCTGCTTTAAATTCACTTCAGTGCACCACCAATATCTTTGGGGTGTGGTATGGTACTGTTCGGGGGTTGTGGTTTGACTCCTGTTTCTGTCCAATAATAATGTAAAAACAAAATTCAAATCACAGATACAGCCCAACTGTGTTGTGGGAAAGAATGAAAATGAATGAACTCAAATTAAACAAGAAGCTGAGAAAGTCACATACATGTATATAAAAATTTGTTATTGACATAGTCAAAGGTAAGTCCTATTCTGGAATTTCTCCCACCTTGGGAAGGACTTTGAGTATGACACAAAACATGTATCATAAACCACCAAAGAAATGAAGAAATGTTTAGCTAATGGGTGTAATACCACTTCTATATAGTATATAAGGACTCCATTGTCCGTCTCTTCTGTGGGTTTGAGGGGGAGGGGAGCGGTCAGAATTTTTTTGCAACATGCCATGAACTGCAGGTGAAAGGTCCTAGTGTCTTCCAAACAGAGAATATGTGAAGGACAGGCAGGGGAGAGATTATTAATATATTACAAAACCCTCTCTTCCCTCATGTACTCCCCAATGGCTAAGATGCTTGAACTAACAGCTTCCCTAAATATAAATGTCAGGGAGCTGATGACCAATGTTGGAATTTGCTTCATCCCCATGGTCTGACAGAGCCTGAGCTTGTTGACCTCTGGTAAATATTGCTAGGCCCATCTGTTTGCTCAGGCTTTTTGCCTGAGGTAAGGGCTGGACTAGATAGTTTGGTGCATTCTGAGTGGGTGGCAGAGGATTTTTGACACTGGTTCGATTTGTTATGTAATTAGGGTATTTAAATGTTTATATATTTGCTTAGGGCCTGATCTAGCACCCAGTGAAGACTCTCATTGACTTCACTAGGCTTTGGATTAGGCTCTTAGAGAAATATGGGGGCAGACCCTCAGCTGGTAGAATGTGTCATAGCTCCACTGAAGTTTAGATTAGCTTATGATCTGCCCCAGGATATGCACATTTTTGTAAAGCTAAGAAATAAATGTAATGCATAAATAAGTTTCCCACCTCTAGTGAAAATGGAGCACTTGTTAAATGTAATGCTGCATCTCTTCTCAAATGAAAAGAGACTCCAGAATGTTCAGCCAGTTGGATTGCTCTATTGGCTGAACTGTCTTCAGTGCAGGCAAAAAAGATGTTCTATACTTATCTATTTATTTACCACCATAGCATCTAAGCAACACCCACTTCAATTGTTACTAATGCAGGGCATCATTTTTTCAAATACTTAAAAAAAAAGTAGGTGTATCAGTAACTGCAAAACCACTAAAACATTTCAGGCACATGTGTCCAAAGGATCTGAGGTAATGATTATGAGAGTGGAGGGACAGGCCACAAATTGGTATTAATGTCTCATTTATGATTAAAGCAACAGAGGGTCCTGTGGCACCTTTAAGACTAACAGAAGTATTGGGAGCATAAGAACCTCACTTCTTCCATTTATGATTGTTAACCTTGCAGCCTCTGCTATTCCCCTCCTTTGTGGGGAAATACAGGAGTATACCAGTGTCTCTGGATTTCAATGTAATTCTCAAAACCTAACATACATAGTACCCTTCCATTTAAATGGGACTATATCAGGGGTGAGCAAACTTTTTGGCCCAAAGGCCACATCTTGGTGGGGAAATTGCATGCAGGGCCATGAATGTAGGGCTGGCGCAGGGAGTTGGGGTGCGGAGGGAGTAAAGGGTGTGGGAGGGGGTGTGGTGTGCGGTGTGCAGGAAGGGGCTCAGGGCAAGGGGTTGGGGTGCAGGAGGGGTGCAGGTGTACAAGGGGGCTCAGGGCGGGGGTTGGGGTGCAGGAGGGGGTAGGGAGTGCGGGAGGGGGATCAGGGCAGGAAGTTGGGGGGCAAGAGGGTGCGGGGTATGGGAGGGGGCTCAGGGCAGGGGGTTGGGGTGCAGGAGGGTGCAGGGTCCGGCAGGGGACTCAGGGCAGGGGGTTGGGGTGCAGGAGGGTGTGAGTTGCGTCAGGGGGCTCAGGGCAGGGGGTTGGAGTGTGGCAGAGGGCTCAGGGAAGGGGGTTGGGATGCAGGAGGGGTGCGGCAGAGGGTTGGGGTGCGGGGTGCAGGAGGGGTTCGGTGTACGGGCTCCAGCCCAGCGCCACTTACCTGGAGTGGCTCTGGGGTGGCAGTGGCATGCAGCGAGGCTAAGGCAGGCTCCCTGCCTGCCCTGGCCCCACGCCGCGCCTCTCCCGGAAGCAGACGGCACCACGTTCCTGTGGCCCCTGGGGGAAAGGGGGCAGAGGGTTCCGCATGCTGCCCTTGCCTGCGAGTACCACCCCCAAAGCTCCCATTGGCCGCGGTTCCCCGTTCCCAGCCAATGGGAGCTGCGGGGGGGGGGGTGCCTGCAGGCGAGGGCAGCGCACAGAGCTCTCTGCCCCCCCCCTTACCCAGGGGCTGCAAGGAGGTGGTGCCGGCCGCTTCTGGGAGCAGTGCGGGGCCCGCGGGGCCACAGGGGTGGCAATCCCGTGGGCAGGATCCAAAGCCATGACAGGCCAGATCCGGCCCGCGGGCCATACTTTGCCCACCCCTGGACTATATACTCTGTGAAGTATTATGAGGGTTAATCATCATCCCCCAGCTAAACATTTTGATATAAATTCCATTCCATTCTTAAAACAAATGAGAAAGAATTTACTCAGTTGGAAGAAAGTAACTCAGTCCTCCCAGATTAGCCGGATTGCTGCTGGTAAATTGAATCTGTTGCCAAATATTTGTTTCCAAAACTTCTCTTTTAGGGATGGGTGAACTACATGAATATACATTATTGGCTTCCTAAAATTATAGTTGATTAACATTTTTCCTCAAAATGTAAACCTTTTTTTTTCATTTAATTTAAAAAATGCTTAGTTTGTTAGGGGAAGATGAGTTTACACACACACACACGCACGCACACACCCTACGGGATTAGGGGTTTGGGAAGGGTCCCATATGAGGAGAGATTAAAGAGGCTAGGACTTTTCAGCTTGGAAAAGAGGAGACTAAGGGGGGATATGATAGAGGTATATAAAATTATGAGTGATGTGGAGAAAGTGGATAAGGAAAAGTTATTTACTTATTCCCATAATACAAGAACTAGGGGTCACCAAATGAAATTAATAGGCAGCAGGTTTAAAACAAATAAAAGGAAGTTCTTCCTCACATGGCGCACAGTCAACTTGTGGAACTCCTTACCTGAGGAGGTTGTGAAGGCTAGGACTATAACAGCGTTTAAAAGAGAACTGGATAAATTCATGGAGGTTAAGTCCATTAATGGCTATTAGCCACGATGGGTAAGGAATGGTGTCCCTAGCCTCTGTTTGTCAGAGGGTGGAGATGGATGGCAGGAGAGAGATCACTTGATCATTACCTGTTAGGTTCACTCCCTCTGGGGCACCTGGCATTGGCCACTGTCGGTAGACAGGATACTGGGCTGGATGGACCTTTGGTCTGACCCAGTACGGCCGTTCTTATGTTCTTATGTATGTTCTACCTGCCCAAAATGAAACGACTCTCCAACAAGTAGGGCTCTATATCTAGTACATATTGATTGTATTTATTTGTTAATTAGAACTTATCTCTTCCCTTCTCTGATTTCTGCACAGTTCCTCCTATATGGAACATAGAGCCAACAAATTTGAGTTGAATCAACTTTCAAACCCGTGAGACATTAATCATTTCTAAGCTAAGTAAAATAAGTTAACTCCCCCCAATGTCTATAAAAATGTAGCTATTCCTGACAAAGCAGTGGGAAGAATCCATTTTTTGTCTCCTTCTGTGGAACATGTACCAAACGTGTTCTTTTGAAAGCCAACGTGGTTTCTGAACAGAATATTGTATCACAAACATGATCTTTATTCTCCAGTAACTTCAGAAAAGAGCAGGTGAACAATACTATAGATGGCTTGCGTTGATCTAACTAAGGCTTGTAAGCATGTTACTGGAAAGATGTTGTGTCATCCTTTCAGGAAGTGCTACCTAGATAGGCTTGTTGCTATCATCCATTCATTCCATCAGGATATGTCTGAAAGGATCAGTTACAGTGGTTATCTGTCAGATCAGGACAGATGTCAAGCAAGGATGTGTGTCTGCACTTTACCTGTTTCACTGCTGCAGTTAATGCTGAATCCACCAACAAGCTCCAGGCAGAAAACGACATCCAAGTGCGATAAGGTAAATTCTCCAGTCTATCACGCCTGAAGGAAAAACTAAAGTTTCCAAACAGCTCGACCTCCTTAGGATGCTGTTCTTGTTGCTCAGTCTGAGCAGGAACTCCACGCATTGGTAACTCATTTTAATATAGCAACAATCAACTTTCTTACTGTTAGATGAAGAAAAGACAGACTTGCTCTGACAAGCTCCATCTGCCCATCCCTTCACTGAGCAGAAATTTTCATCAGTGATGCCACTTGGGAAGTGTTGTATCTGACAATGCTTTTTTGTATGGATGCTGAAATCACCATCCAGGTTAACAAAGCATGCACTGTCTTTGGCAGGCCCAACAAATGTGTTTAGAGAAAGATCTTGGACTTCAAAAGGACACCAGCTTTAAAGAATATCAGGCAGTCATGCAAGCCATGTTGCCTTGTGGTTGTAAATCTTGACTCTGTAAGTGTCAAAGCAGCCTGTGTAATGCCTTCCTTAAGAAAATTTTCCACATTAGAACTGTAAAGATTGTATTTACTATTAAAGGTTTTGATCATTCAAAGCTATGATGTACTGCTGCTATCTTTGATTAAATTAAACTGCACTGGTACATCTTTCCAAACATTAGCTCCTATAGTCAACTACGGAAGGTTCATATTGGCATGGTGGATAAGCTTCTCTGTTTTAAAGACAGTCTCAAACAGTTACTTAAAGATGCTAACACTGCAGCTAACACCTACAAAATCCTGGCAGCTGGCCCACGTGAGTATCTTCTATATTTGCACAGTGTCAAGCACACTAGCAGTACTGAATAAATAATAATCCTAAAGACCTGTAGGCAGTCAGGGAATAGCTATGGATGAGGAGTTCATACTGGGAAATCTGAAAATGAAAAATTCTCTTGTTATAATTATGGGAAAGCTCTTCTCCTCCTTTTCCTTTTCATTCATTGATCTGTTTTCCTCAATAACAAGGGGTGATGGTGATGATAAAGGTGCCAAAAAAAGAATTTCTTTGTAAGATGATATATCCCCTCAAGCAGGGAATTTAAGCTAACATCTACACCAGTAGTGTCATACATACATAATTTGTAAGATCATTGAGCGGAGTAGTCAGTAATAACTCAAACTTCTGATTCCAAGAATCCATTTCTAATTTAAATTAAAAACAAAATGGAAAGCAAATATTTTATACTGGGGGGAAGCGGGGCGGAGAATCGCTGGAAAAAAAATTTCACTTCACCATCTTCTTTTAGAGGATGAAAGCAACTTTCTCCACTTATGTTCCCAAAACACATAGGTGCTGGTCACAAATCTTTGAATTGATTGACAAAATTCATGGGGGAATTCAATCATCAGTTCTATAAAAATGTCATTAAAAGCTAACTTACTTCTGCAAAAAACTGTTTTTCTTCCCGTTTTTGCTAATGCTTATTTAATTCAGACTCCTGACAAACAGTTGAGAGAAGACCTTTCTTTGAGAAAAAATCAATGCTGCCTCCTCTTCTAATGAAGGATGAAAAATTACCCCATTTTGCTCCCTTAGTAGACACAGAGTAATTCAAGATTTAAGAGCAGTTAAGAACTGGAATAAATTGCCTAGGGAGCTTGTGGAATCTCCATCATTGGAGATTTTTAAGAGCAGGTTAGACAAACACCTGTCAGGGATGGTCTACATAATACTTAGTCTTGCCATGAGGGCAGGGGACTGGACTAGATGACCTCTCGAGGTCCCTTCCAGTCTATGATTCTATAATTCTAAAAAAAATAGGTGGAAATGTTTGTTTGTTTTTAAATTGTCTGCCTTTACATATGAAAAAAGGGACAGTAAAGGGCACAAACAAAAATGATTCCCCCCCCTTTGCTGTTTGCCTTTAATGTAAATAAAAAGATGCAAAGGGAGACTCAGTGTAATCAAGTTAGTCTCAAGGGACATTTTTCAAAAGCTTGAAATAAAACATGCTGAAAAGAAGCAAATCTTCAGGATCACAGGAGAAAAGAATAAACTGAAAAGTGCCAAAGTCACCACCTGTTGAGATGATGGAGTGTCATGCTCAAAGCTGTTAAGGTGTTAATACAGCTGTTCAGTGTTACCTTAAAGAGTTAATTGTAGATCATGGGTTTTAATTAAAAGGACTGGGGCCTGCTTTTATCATGTTAACCACAGAAATCCTTTAAAACGTATTAAACACAAAACCATACAACATGAAAATGACAAAATAAAAATACGTGGAATTTCCCTCTTTAATTTACCTTTTGGACTGACCGACAAAGGGAGAAACATTGATTAAAAAGTATCTTATAGGTACCGAAAGTCTTTCCTCAGGATGCGGGGAAGAGTCCAATCAGCTGTTGCAGTTTGGCTCAACAATTATTGTTAAGATTATTCCTTCTGTTTAAGAAAACACACACACAAAGGGAAGAGAATGGGTAGAAAAGAAAGCAAAAGTTCTGTCTTGATGATGCTTGACCATTCATGTTGCAGGCATGATAGGGTACAGATGAATCAGTCATGAGCAGATGCGCATTAGCTTTTTGACACTGGCTCACTTTTTTTTCTGAGATGACATCTGGATGGTACACGCAGGTCTCCTCCAATCTTCCTTCTGCTGGGGCAAGACTGCTTATGCTGTTTTAACCAGTTGTGCAGGTTATGGTAATTACATCATGAAATGTAATTAACTCTAGGACTGGTCAATCTTGGAATCGGTTAGATAAAAAATGACAAGACAAAATAAAATGGGGATGATATAACACACAAGGAGGGGATAACTTAGGGTGACCAGATATCCCTATTTTATAGGGACAGTCCTGATATTTGGGGCAATTTCTTCTATAGGCGCCTATTACCCCCCATCCCCTGTCCCGATTTTTCACACTTGCTGTCTGGTCACCCTAGCTGTAAACTTAAACCTTCATCCCAGAAGTTACATAATGTAATGAACCTGCTGGACATAGTGCCCCATCGATCCCCAGTGCAAAATGCATCCCATAGAGGGCGCCATAATCCTCAGAGAACAGGAAAGTGAACGTAAGAACATAAGAACATAACAACGGCCGTACCGGGTCAGACCAAAGGTCCATCTATCCCAGTATCCTGTCTACCGACAGTGGCCAATGCCAGGTGCCCCAAAGGGAGTGTACCAACAGGCAATGATCAAGTAATCTCTCTCCTGCCATCCATCTCCATCCTCTGACAAACAGAGGCTAGGGACACCATTCCTTACCCATCCTGGCTAATAGCCATTAATGGACTTAACCACCATGAATTTATCCAGTTCTCTTTTAAATGCTGTTATAGTCCTAGCCTTCACAACCTCCTCAGGTAAGGAGTTCCACAAGTTGACTGTGCGCTGCGTGAAGAAGAACTTCCTTGTATTTGTTTTAAACCTGCTACCTTTTAATTTCATTTGGTGACCCCTAGTTCTTGTATTATGGGAATAAGTAAATAACTTTTCCTTATCCACTTTCTCCACATCACTCATGATTTTATATACCTCTATCATATCCCCCCTTAGTCTCCTCTTTTCCAAGCTGAAGAGTCCTAGCCTCTTTAATCTCTCCTCATATGGGACCCGTTCCAAACCCCTAATCATTTTAGTTGCCCTTTTCTGAACCTTTTCTAGTGCCAATATATCTTTTTTTAGATGAGGAGACCACATCTGTACACAGTATTCGAGATGTGGGCGTACCATCGATTTATATAAGGGCAATAATATATTCTCAGTCTTATTCTCTATCCCCTTTTAAATGATCCCTAACATCCTGTTTGCTTTTTTGACCGCCTCTGCACACTGCGCGGACATCTTCAGAGAACTATCCATGATGACTCCAAGATCTTTTTCCTGACTTGTTGTAGCTAAATTAGCCCCCATCATATTGTATGTATAGTTGGGGTTATTTTTTCCAATGTGCATTACTTTACATTTATCCACATTAAATTTCATTTGCCATTTTGTTGCCCAATCACTTAGTTTTGTGAGATCTTTTTGAAGTTCATCACAGTCTGCTTTGGTCTTAACTATCTTGAGCAGTTTAGTATCATCTGCAAACTTTGCCACCTCACTGTTTACCCCTTTCTCCAGATCATTTATAAATAAGTTGAATAGGATTGGTCTGAGAACTGACCCTTGGGGAACATCACTAGTTACCCCTCTCCATTCTGATAATTTACCATTAATTCCTACCCTTTGTTCCCGGACTTTTAACCAGTTCTCAATCCATGAAAGGACCTTCCCTTTTATCCCATGACAACTTAATTTACGTAAGAGCCTTTGATGAGGGACCTTGTCAAAGGCTTTCTGGAAATCTAAGTACACTATGTCCACTGGATCCCCCTTGTCCACATGTTTGTTGACCCCTTCAAAGAACTCTAATAGATTAGTAAGACACGATTTCCCTTTACAGAAACCATGTTGACTATTGCTCAACAGTTTATGTTTTTCTATGTGTCTGACAATTTTATTCTTAACTATTGTTTCGACTAATTTGCCCGGTACCGACGTTAGACTTACCGGTCTTTAATTGCCGGGATCACCTCTAGAGCCCTTTTTAAATATTGGCGTTACATTAGCTAACTTCCAGTCATTGGGTACAGAAGCCAATTTAAAGGACAGGTTACAAACCTTAGTTAATAGTTCCGCAACTTCACATTTGAGTTCTTTCAGAACTCTTGGGTGAATGCCATCTGGTCCTGGTGACTTGTTAATGTTAAGTTTATCAATTAATTCCAAAACCTCCTCTAGTGACACTTCAATCTGTGACAGTTCCTCAGATTTGTAACCTACAAAAGCGGGCTCAGGTTTGGGAATCTCCCTAACATTCTCAGCCGTGAAGACTGAAGCAAAGAATCCATTTAGTTTCTCCGCAATGACTTTATCGTCTTTAAGCGCTCCTTTTGTATCTCGATCATCAAGGGGCCCCACTGGTTGTTTAGCAGGCCTCCTGCTTCTGATATACTTAAAAAACATTTTGTTATTACCTTTGGAGTTTTTGGCTAGACGTTCTTCAAACTCCCCTTTGGCTTTTCTTTTACATTCTTGCACTTAATTTGGCAGCGTTTATGCTCCTTTCTATTTGCCTCACTAGGATCTGACTTTCACTTTTTAAAGGAAGTCTTTTTATCTCTCACTGCTTC